ATGTTTGTTAATTGATTTTTATTGGCATTAAATTAGATTAGATTAGTGTAAACCCTATTCACCCTCCCTCTAGGGTTATTTTCTAGTGGCATAAATGTCCTACAAGAATATCAAATAATTATTCTTTTGTTTGTTAAGCTTAGAAATTTTAGTTTTTTTTTTGTGATTTTAAACTTTTGAGTAGGGGTGGTAAACGGGTTGGCCCGACCCGACCCGACACATATAAAATTTGACCCATCCCGTGTAATATTGATCCAATCCAACCCATCAAATAATCGAGTTAACCCATTTATTAAATGGGTTACCCACCGACCTAAGTGGCCCATTTAATTATTTTATAATTTTCGTGTATTTAACAAAGAGTTCATGGTCAAAGTTTTTATGGTCCTATTTATCATTCATATGTTTAATTATTGTTTAGAAGTCTAGATATTTTTAAGGTGTTTTTTTGTAAAATTTAAAATTTGAGAGTGTTTTTTTATAAATATTAACATTCTAGGGTGTTTTCTACAAATATTATTTTCTCAGTGGAAATTTTCTTATTTATAAATTTTATACCCATTATAGGTTTTGACTTTTTATTTATTTTTTATATTTTAAAGTTTTAGGTTGTTTTTTGTAATTTTTGAAGCTTTTAGGGTATTTTTGCAAATATCAAAAAATTCATGTTACTATTTATAAGATACATATTTTATATTGTTCGTAAGTTTTCATATTTTTGACATGTGTTTCTATAAAATTTGGCTTTTTAGAGCGTGTCTTGTAATTTTAAAAATTTTATGGTGTTTACTACAAATTTCAAAATTTTCATGTTGTTGTTTGTAAGTTATAGATTTTATACTATTTATAAGTTTTTATATTTATGTGGTATGTTTCTGAAAATTTGACTTGCTTGAGGGCATATTTTACAATTTTGAAACTTTTAGGTGTTTCTGTAATACTTGGACTTTTAACGGTGTATTTTTAAATTTACTAATTATTTAGGGTATTTTTTACAAATTTTAAAATTTTCATGGTGCTGCTATAATTTATAGATTTTGTACTTTTCCTAAGTTTTGATATTTTTGGGGCATGTTTTTGTAAAAAGTTTGACTTTTGAGCATGTATTTTGCAAATTTTCAAACATTTAGGGTGTTTTTTTTTGCAAAACTCAAAACTTTTAGTGGGTTTTTATAGTTTATAAACTTTTAGTGGGTTTTTATAGTTTATAATTTTTGACTTATTTTGGATTTTTTGCAACTTTTGAAAGTATTAGGGTGATTCTTACAAATTTTAAAATTTTTATGGTACTATTTTTAAGTTATAAATTATGTAGTTATTTGTAGATTTTGATTTCTTTAGGGGTGTGTTTTTGTAAATTTTGACTTAGTTAGGGTGTTTTTTACAATTTTTTAAACTATCAGGGTGTTTTTTTATAAATTTCAAAATTTTCATGGTGCTATTCAAAAGATTTAGATTTTATATTGTTTGTAAGTTTTGATATTTCTTGACTGTGTTTTCGTAAATTTGACTTTTTGAGGGTGTATTTTGTAATTTTGAAAATATAGGGTGTTTTTATAAATTTTAAAATTTTCATTGTGTTCTTTATAATTTATCGATTTTTGTACTATTTTATGAGTTTTGATATTTTCATGGTTTTTGATAAGTTTTGAATTTCTGAGGATGTTTTTTTATTTTTTTAATCGCTAAGGGTGTTTTTTGCAAATTATAATTTTTTTATAATTTTCTATGCAATTCTAGATTTTATAGTGTTCATAAGTATGGATATTTTATGGGTGTATTTTTACAAATTATGAAAGTTAAGGGTTAAATGATAAATGAGTTAAAGTTAAACGGGTTGGTGAGTTGACATGTTTACCACCAGAATAATAAATAAGATATTTGGGTCGACCCGTTTATGACCCGACCCATATAAAGTGATCCACACCCATTTATAACGGTTTGGGTCGGGTGGGGTGAGTGGGTCGAGTCATTAATTGCCACCCAGGGTGTGTTTTGTAATTTTTAAAACATTGATAGTGTTTTAAAAAAAAATTTAAATTTTAAGTTAGGTGCTTGTAATTTCCATGTTTCATATGTTGGTGGTTACTTTTCAAATGTTAGAATATTTCTTACAATTCTAAAATGTTAAGGGTGTTGTTTTTTACAATTATTGAAACATTGGATTATTTTTGGTATGCTAATAATTTCTAAATTTGATGTGTGCTGGATATAAGTTTTGAAATTTCAGAATATAGGTTTTGAAAATTTTAGGATTTTTTGCGATTTTAACTTTACAGGGAGTTTTTATAATTTTTCTAACTTTGAGGTTATTTTTTGTAAATATTAAATTTTTAAGTGCCTGATGGTAATCCTTTGAATCCATTTATGTTGTTTGTAAGTTTTGAAATTTTAGAATTTCAGATTGTTTTTTTGTAATTTGAACTTTGAGGATGTTCTTATAATATTTGAAATGTTGAGGGTATTGCTTGCAAATTTTAAATTCTTAGGGGGTTGTTCTTAATTTTTACATTTCCATGTTTGTTTTTTAAGTTTTGAAAAGTTGGGGTGTTTTATGTAATTATAAACTTTTGAGAGTATTTTGTGTATTTTTTATAATTTTTGGATTTTTTTAATACTTCACGTATTATAATATGATAGTTATGTATGTTTTTAATCTTATTTTTCAAAATTGTTGGGGTATAGATAGTTCATGTGGGATTAGTATAAAATATAATTAGTATTTTTATAGATTAATATTTAAATAAAATATTTAAAATAGTATCTCATATAGTTTCTTAATCTTATTTCTTAAAATTATGGTGCTACAGGTAGCTCATGTTGGATTAATATAAGATATAATTAATATAATTAGGATTAGGATAAATTAATATTGAGATAAAATATTCAAAATAATTAATGGTAATATTGATCATGAAAAGTTTTTTCCGAACTTGTGCTTTTAAAGGGAGTATATGATTTTTATACTGTAATAGAAGAATTTTTTTTTAAAAAGACTCGTTTTACAATTTTATGAGAAAAATTGATCTCTTTGTGTTTTATTAGCAAAGTCGACCTCGTTTTTGCCACGTTATCATAGCTAGCCTAAAAGAAGTTGATTTTTTATTGTTAAATACACGGGACCAGTAGCCCCGTGTAGTTCAAATACGATCGGTTTCTTTTTGGCTAGCCTTGATGATATGACAAAAAAAAAGATTGATTTTGCTAATTAAAAGACAAAGAGATCAATTTTGTCCATAAAATTGCAAAAATGGTATTTTTTATAAAAAAAATTTTCCACTGTAATATTTGAACAACTTCAAAAAATTAGTGACGTATGAGTTTGGAGTCAGGAACATTAGAGACCCGACGTATTATGTACGTGCAGTTAAGAAGAAACGTAAACGAGAGACTGGTTTGAAATAACTAATAAATTTTGGCGAACTACGTAGCAAATTCCAACGATTTTAGGGACTAATCGTAAAATATTTAAGAGTGGTGTTAGGGGCACACTCCCTACCACACCACCAACCACACCCCCCTCTCCCATCGCTACAGTAAACCGGGCCCTACATGGGATTTTAAAAATTTTAAAATCTCATGTGGGGCCCGGTTTACTGTAGCGATGGGAGAGGGGGGTGTGGTTGGTGGTGTGGTAGGGAGTGTGCCCCTAACACCACTCTTAAATATTTTACGATTAGTCCCTAAAATCGTTGGAATTTGCTACGTAGTTCGCCAAAATTTATTAGTTATTTCAAACCAGTCTCTCGTTTACGTTTCTTCTTAACTGCACGTACATAATACGTCGGGTCTCTAATGTTCCTGACTCCAAACTCATACGTCACTAATTTTTTGAAGTTGTTCAAATATTACAGTGGAAAATTTTTTTTATAAAAAATACCATTTTTGCAATTTTATGGACAAAATTGATCTCTTTGTCTTTTAATTAGCAAAATCAATCTTTTTTTTTGTCATATCATCAAGGCTAGCCAAAAAGAAACCGATCGTATTTGAACTACACGGGGCTACTGGTCCCGTGTATTTAACAATAAAAAATCAACTTCTTTTAGGCTAGCTATGATAACGTGGCAAAAACGAGGTCGACTTTGCTAATAAAACACAAAGAGATCAATTTTTCTCATAAAATTGTAAAACGAGTCTTTTTAAAAAAAAATTCTTCTATTACAGTATAAAAATCATATACTCCCTTTAAAAGCACAAGTTCGGAAAAAACTTTTCATGATCAATATTACCATTAATTATTTTGAATATTTTATCTCAATATTAATTTATCCTAATCCTAATTATATTAATTATATCTTATATTAATCCAACATGAGCTACCTGTAGCACCATAATTTTAAGAAATAAGATTAAGAAACTATATGAGATACTATTTTAAATATTTTATTTAAATATTAATCTATAAAAATACTAATTATATTTTATACTAATCCCACATGAACTATCTATACCCCAACAATTTTGAAAAATAAGATTAAAAACATACATAACTATCATATTATAATACGTGAAGTATTAAAAAAATCCAAAAATTATAAAAAATACACAAAATACTCTCAAAAGTTTATAATTACATAAAACACCCCAACTTTTCAAAACTTAAAAAACAAACATGGAAATGTAAAAATTAAGAACAACCCCCTAAGAATTTAAAATTTGCAAGCAATACCCTCAACATTTCAAATATTATAAGAACATCCTCAAAGTTCAAATTACAAAAAAACAATCTGAAATTCTAAAATTTCAAAACTTACAAACAACATAAATGGATTCAAAGGATTACCATCAGGCACTTAAAAATTTAATATTTACAAAAAATAACCTCAAAGTTAGAAAAATTATAAAAACTCCCTGTAAAGTTAAAATCGCAAAAAATCCTAAAATTTTCAAAACCTATATTCTGAAATTTCAAAACTTATATCCAGCACACATCAAATTTAGAAATTATTAGCATACCAAAAATAATCCAATGTTTCAATAATTGTAAAAAATTTCTGCTCGAGCCTCAAAAGAATAAGGCGGAAGAGAGAGAGAGAGCAGAGAGAGAGAGAGAGAAATGGGGATTGAAGAGGTTAAATCTCGAGATAATGTCGTGATCAAATCCCCAAACGACCGCCGATCCTACAGAATCCTCCACTTGCCTAATGGCCTCTGCGCTGTCCTCGTCCACGACCCCGAGATCTACCCCGACGGCGCCGAAGCTTCTAGAACCTCAGATGATGCCCTAGATTATGATCCGAGATCTACCCCGACGGCGCCGAAGCTTCTAGAACCTCAGATGATGCCCTAGATTATGATGACATGGACGAGGACGAGGATGAGGATGAGGGTGAGGAAGACGATGACGAGGACGATGATGAAGAGGAGGATGAAGAGGAGGAGGAGGATGAAGATGAAGGGATCGAGAAGAAGAAGAAGGGGAAGGGCGCTGCTCCCACTAAAAAGGTGTTATTACTTTTTCACTAATCAAGTTCTAGTTCTGTTGAAAAGATTAGATTTTTATATAATTAAAAAAACACGGCTGAAATGAGTTCAACACTTATTTGATAGCATAATTAGCTTATACTTTGATAGTAAAGTATCTTATCTGTTATCAATTGATGATATGCAGCTAAAATTTAGCTATCAACTAGAATATTAAATTTGATTTGTTAAATTCACAATTGAAACCTAGACTGTGACTTAGGATTATATTTATTGTGATAACTGATAAGCGTCATAGTTCTCCTAAGATTTGCCTAAAAAATCCATCTCCTAAGATCTATCTGAAAATTCCAAAGCTTCCTCAAGAGAAAAAGACTCCAACTGAAATCCACCCGTCACCGAAAAGGAGCCATACTGAGAGATAAATTTTCAATTTTCTTTATTCTATTCTTTATCTCATCTTCACGAGATTTTCTCTATTTTTATAAGGCTACATATAAACCCTATATATAAATTAGACTAGTATTATAGATTTTAATTTTAAACAATTCATAATTATTTTAAACTCTATCCATAACAATTAAGGATATAATAGAATTTGATTAAAAACTCTATCCATAACAATTGATGATATAATAGAATTTGTATTGCATGTAAACCTCTTCAAATGACATTAGTGAGACCAATTGGGTCCCATATCGAGAACTAATTATTAATTAAATTAATAATTTTATTTTAACAATTAAATCCCTATTCGACAAGCTCTTCCATAATATGTGATTAATTATTCATAAATAATATCTTATATGCAGTTCCCTCCAGTATCATTTATTTTAGGCAACTTTTTTGAGCAGGACAATTCACCTATTTACTTATGCCTAAATTGTAATTTCTATGAACATAAATAAAAAATATTTTAAAAGATTAAAATATTTTATTTTTATAAGAAAACAAATTTTAAAAAATATTTTTCAAAACGACATGTTGGCAAGAAATTAATAACTACATGGAAATGCATAATAAATTAACTCATCATGATGAGCATATTGGATCCTATCTAGATATCCATCATTTTCCTAAATAAAATTTAGCAACCTAATGTTTCAGGTAGTGTAGCGCTTGCTAAATAAACTTAATCATCACATGAAAACATACTAAATTATCAAATCGAAAATGACAATGTCAAGTTAAAGGGATCATGTAACAATTTGAGTTCTCTATCTCTTAGGTGACTCATCCTAGAAAATCCAAATGTGGTCTAGTGTTAAGCACATCACAATGCGTGCTTATGACATACACCCGGAGAATCACCATTCCCGATGGTTGAGACCCACCACCACATTTCACATGTCAGTGTCATGCATAATAACATGTTATTAACAAAGTTATCATTTACTAGTTATGCATTAAGAACAAGTTTAAGAAATCTCTAAGTTAGATTACATCTTGAAGCAAATGACACATCACAATGCATAATATAATAAAATAAATTCTAAGGATATTATAACAATTATAGAAATGATACCCAAATTATATGTGCAACAATTAAATCTATTAATATTTCACAAATATTACATAATTTGTATTGGATGTTCAGTTGGAAAAGTAAAGTAACCAATGGGTATTTTTGAAGCACATAGATCATGTTATAGAAGTCAAAAGTTCTTAAGTAGCTCATGCATTTATCTTAAGATTAATTTTGTTCCTCTATTATGCTGTTAGCCATCCCCTAGGTGGTAACGGGAGGGTAGATGCTGTTAATTGGAAGTCAGACATCATGCTTGTTTTTGATTGAAGAGTGTTTTTTATTAAAAAAAAGTTACTATATAATAATGATTTTTCTTAGGTACTTTACACCACTAATGTTTCTTTTGATCCTGTATATTGGAAGATGTGATGTTGATATATTGCATATCGGGTACTTTTGTTGCATTTCAGCTAGTCTTATTGAATAACCTGCTGATTCATCCTTATTTAATTTCTTTCTTTTAGAAGTTTACCATTTCTCAGTGGATGCTTTCCTTTTTAACTATTCTTATAAGATTTCTTTTTCAGTTGATGTCATCCCAAGCTGTTGCAGCACATCTTAGCATTATCCACATAGCAAAACTTCTATCTTTTATGTACTTCACTTAGTTATTACAAGTCAGAATCCTGATACTGTAAAACCATCCCGCCGTCCACATTTTTCACATTCTAATTGCTAAGTCAACCTGAAAATCAAATTCAAGGAATGATGCTCATTGGTTCACTAAATCTTTTGTACTCCTTTTACTTTGCATTTACATATTTTAGTATGTAAACATAGAAAACTCCTTTCAAATACTTAATAATTATTTCCAAACAAGTTGGTTGATATGTTAGGGTTTTTTTGTAAATTATATTGTGGGTGGGATTTGATTTGAGTGATATATGTCATGGAACAGAATCAATGAATTTACTTTGATCTACTTTATTATGTAAATTTAATTTGATATGTGCTTAGCTCTTGAGTCTGACTTTAGTGGTATAGAGATGAGAATGGATTATTGATTAAGAGAGAAAAGAAAACAATTGCAGCAGATTCCTATAAATACAGGTATTTACTGATGGGAAATCAATATTGCCAAAAAAGAATTAAGCAAAAGAATTGTTATCTAGACTTATTACTGGAAAATTAATACATCACACGCCTATTTCTTAAAAAAGGGGGTGTCTTATCATATTATATTGTAATTGATAGATACGAGGGAATCTCATTTGTTGTTACTCTCTCATCACTTGCAACCTCTTTTATCTCATTTGTTGTAAATCACTCATTATATCAGTTACAACCTCATAGATTGTATTGTGATGTAACTACTTGTGTATATCGTATCCTCTTTAAACATCACGACTATCCTATGTAACTACCAATTCTTCTCTACCTTATGTGTATAAATAACTAATTACACATTTACACCCCTTCCTGTTATTGAGATAAATAATTGGAGATTTTTCAGATCCAAAGAAGGACCATCAAGTCACTAAGTAATTGAACTGAAAATCTTAATTCCAAAATTGATTAAAAATCATAATAATTATTGACTTAGTCAATTCCTTAGGGCATCTCCAACCATGCTCCATTTCCCGCGCCATTTTGATGCAACGACACTATTCCTTCTCCAACCATGCCCTATTTCCCACGCCATTTTGGTGAAAAGGAATAGTGCGACGTCAAATAGTGTGTCGCACTGTCCATCGTACTATTACTGTTCATCACACCATTTTGACCATATTTTATTTTCTATTGTGTTCTTAAATTTAATATTTTGGCAATATCAATAATAAAAGTAATAAAATAATAGTTTATAATTTTACCCTAATAATCTTAATTAATAAAATAATATTTTATTGTTAATGTTTAATATTTTCTTGTATTTTATTTTTTGTTGTGTTCTTAAATGTAATATTTTGGCAATATCAATAATAAAAACATAGTATTTTATCAATCAAGTTATTTTAATTAATAAAATAATATTTTATTGTTTTATTAGTTCAATTTTTTAAATAATAAATTATTTTGTTTGAAAAATATGTGAAAAAATAAAATTTGATATGTGGGGTTAATTGTTGAAATAGTTAAAAATATAGGGAATAAAAAATAATAATATAAAAGTAGATAAAAAGAATATACTGAGAATATTTTTTTTTGGTGCAAAAAATGGTGCAGTAGGTTGGAGATGAATTACTGTTTGATGTGATTTTTACACCATTTTGGTGCAAAATTTGCACCATTTTGCACCATTTTGGTGCGATGGGTTGGATGGCCTTACAAATAGCTAGCATTTGGTTATATTTCAAATAAAAAATCTAGCTTGAAATCTTAACCTATTTGATGTGACTTTTGCACCATTTTGGTGCGATGGGTTGGATGGCCTTACAAATAGCTAGCATTTGGTTATATTTCAAATAAAAAATCTAGCTTGAAATCTTAAGCTATTTCATATAACAAAAATAGACAATTAAGCAAGGAAAATCTCAAAAAAGTTCAAAAATAATCTACTCCAAAAGGACAACTACATGTGCTACTAATTAAAACAAACCAAATAGGAACAATAATTCTTCAAAAATCAATATTCAATCTAAAGAGATGCCACAAGATATTGCACATCTAAACACACAACCATGAATCAATCAACTCTACTAGCTAGAACTAATCTAAGACAAATCAACAACTACAAGAGCACTAAAAGTACCATAAGAGAATCAGAGATAAATGTAGAGCCGGAGGATACATGTTTTGCAGGAGGAACATGAGGTGAAGCTTCTAATGGAGATGGAGCTGTTACTGCGTTGGAGATGGAGATGGAGTTGGGTCTGGAGTTGGTGATTGTGTTGGTGCTAGAGTTGATATCGGAGATGGAGTCAGGTTGGAGATGGTGACGATAGTGAAGGCATAGGCTCTGGTGGAGCTACATTGCATTAAGAGAAATATAAACTATAGTAGTATTAGACTAATAGATTTTATTAAGTAACTTAAGATATTAAATATCTCATAAAGACTATTTTGTTAATCATAACAATTCGATAGTATTTAAAGGGCTAAGATCTTTTTCTAATTATTCTTAGAAACATATATTTAGTTATTTGTATTTATTTACTCTTTATTTCAGAAAAATTATAACTATTCATTAAACAATGGATGGTTGTGATTGAGAAAATTATGATTGCCTATTTTAGATACAGCAAACACGTTCTTATGAAGAGGATGAAAATGAGTGACTATTTAAAAAAAAGAACATACTTTACTTTATGTTTATGTCTTTTTATTATAAGGGGTTATGATTGAGACAAAACATAATTGGCTACTGGATAATAGACAGTTGTGATTGATAAGATGGTCGGATATTACTAAAGCGAACATGAAGTGAATCTGAATCTTAGGAAGAAGAGGGAAAATAGTGATTATGTTAAAATAGTTGAGAAATGTATAACTAAGATAAAAGAAATTTCCTATATTATTCTTTACATATTTAGTTTAGAAGTAATTGCCTTATAAAGAAATTTCCTATATTATTCTTTACATATTTAGTTTAGAAGTAATTGCCTTATCGTATTATAAGCCAAAGATGACCCAAATACCATTTATATCAATGCTATTTTCAATTTTCTTATAGTATTACTTTATATTTAGAAAATGAAAATTTTGTTAGTATAGGAAATTTAAAAAAAAGCAAAAAAAAAGCAAAAGTTGATATGCAAACCCAGAGTTAGAGTAGGAGGGGGAATTGCGCTTGCACCTAAAAATTCAAACAAAACAAAATATTCCATTGCTATCATTGGGGATGTATGAACTAAAACATAAAAAAAAGAATTTCTATACTTATTGCTCATCTTTATACCAAGGGACAAGTAAACGTGATAATTTTGGATCACCTCAAAATCAAAACAATCTATATATTTTATGCGCTTACCTCTTACATATGTCAGTAAATAAAAACCAGTATTATGACCAACTTATTATTGCTATCGCTTTAGTCAAGACAATATGTCTAGAAAATATACTAATATGAGAAAAAATATACATCAAGAAAAGAAAAGAAATAGGAAAATTACAATAGAAAATAAAAGGAAGGATTTGAAAAAAAACAATTTACCTTTGCCTTCATGGGGAAATTAACGGAACATGCACGTGGAATTATAAGAGCCCTATGTTGCACGGATACGGGTATGTGTATGAGTATGGATACCATAACAAGTATGGGACATGACAAATTTGTAAAAAGTAGGGTACATGAATATAGCTATATAAATTTCCTACATACACATATTATATATCAGAATTGATAATTTATATTGGAACTAATATAAATTTCTAAACAAGGTATCATTGTTTATTCAATATCCTTGGACATAAAAACTAACCTATCAAAACCATTTCAATTTTCAAACATTTTAAAGGAGTGAAGTAATATTTCAAAATCACTTCAATCTGAATTTCAAATATTTCAAAATCTTTTATAACAACTCTAACTATCTCAAGTTTGGCTATAAAAGTAGCTGTCATTGCCCTCCACTCATTGCTCATCTTCTCTCCTCTTCATCCACCCCCACCCCCCCTCCAAAAAAACCCTCTCCCAAATGAAGCCCGCACAATAATCCTTTCTCAGAGCCCAAGGAAAAGTTTGTGATGACCATCCTTCCATAATCCAACAAGACCCATGAAGAGAGCTCCAACGTCCTCTCCTTCTCATCTCCTCAACCCACGAACAAGTTGGTGCTCAACGACAAACCCCTTTAATGCATCACCGCCGACACCCTCTCCCCCTCGCCGACTTCATCACTGCTTCTTGCCGCCGAGGCCTTCAGCCAGACACCTGCTGGAGGGGGTTATCAGAGCCGACGCTCCACCACCCATCGGAGCGGATCCA